ACATGGTACCACCGCACTCCCACGCGTCCACTAGCGACCAGAGAAAAGCAAGCCCTACCTCTCGTGTGCGCGGGCAGACGGCCTCGCTCGTTGGGGAACACCTCGACCGAGACTTCCCACCGCCGTACCAAAATCGGCAAGACACCCAGCTCGCGATGGGACGTCCACGCCACGGGGAGAACTACCCCCGAAAAGGTCCGGCCGCACCGCCGGCCAAACCGGCCGGTTCCCTTCACCACCGGTAACAAGTTTGTCGAGCTAACACCCGGACAGGCACAGAGCATATCGAAGCATGCACATCAAACATCATTCAAGCAAACAAATAAATACGAAAAAACGAGCATAAACATCATGCAAATACCGAGCGCACACTTAGAAAATTCACAAAAATATATTAAGAAAAAGCGGGCACCAACCCAGTAGTTAATATTACACGAACGGGGCGCGCAGGCCCAAAGAAAAACAAGTTATAAAATGTCGGCACGCAGGCCATAAAGACAACGAGCACGCAGGCCCGGGAACCTATGCCACATCGCCCTCCTGATCAGCAACCACGAGGACCTCCTCGGGAACGACAAGCTCGGGGTCGACCACCTTCCCGCCGACGATCTCATGATACGGCCCAATCCCATCCACGACCAGCGCGACGCTGGGGTTGACAACTTGGATCTGCGCGACAACGCTCTTGAACCCGACCTCGACAGCCTCCAAACAATCGCCCTCCAGCACCCGAATCCGGGCGACCAGATCAGCACGTGTGATCAACCGCTGGTCCTCCTCTGTCTCGTCCTCGGTCGGACGAAGCGCGCTGTCCAGGACTTCCATACGAACCTTCAGCGCCTGCACCTCGGCCGTTGCCGCCCCCAGCTTCTCCTCCATCGAGGTCACCTTCCCCTCAGCGCCCTCCGCTCACTTGCGTTGGTCAGCAACATCTTTCTGACTCTTCTCCAGTTCCTCAGTGAGCTTGGCCAGACGCGACTGCATAAAGGTAAGGTCCCCCTGCAATTTGGACAGCTCAGTGGCAGAACAACCCTCCTCGTTCAGCACAAGGTCCGTCGTGAACGTCCGCATCATCGCGGCCAAATCCTCCGCCAGGATACGTCGACGAGACTCTCGATCGGCTTCGCGAACATCCTTCACCTCCCCAGCAGAGACGGTAGGAGATCGGGCACCGTGAAAATAGCCCGGATGCTGATGGCACGGCGGGACGACATAACCCTCCTCAGCCGAGCCGGTCGTCAGATCAATCAAACCGCTGGGCTCCTCGGATCTCGGCCTCTTCGCTGCTCCCTGAGACGTAGGAGACTGACTCCCTTGGGGAGAAAAAGACGAACTCTAGCCTCCCGGCGTCACAGCCTCCTGCCCGACCAGTTGACTCACCCGCGTCTTCGGGACCACGGCGTTCCTTGAAGCGCGCAGTTTCTTCACTCGCTCCTCGACGGAAGACATGTTCGCTGCAAAAACAAACAGAGAGTTAGCAACGGTCAGAACACACGATCACAGGGAAAAAGAAACGTCCCTACCTAGATAGTCCAGAGCGGCCGCCCCGGTGGCGCAACCGAGCAGGGTCTTAGTGTTAATCAGCCGCTTCTTGGTTCGCACGTTCCCCTACGCGTCGAGGATGTACCGACCATCGGGCGTCACCAGTTTCGACGGGGGAAGATCCCGCACAAAGGCAACTATTTTCAGATACGTGGCCATATCCTTCTCGTTGAGGGTCCCTGCCCGTACGATATACCTGTCAGTGCCACGGTTGAAGTGCTCAGAGGTCCATAACAGATGTACCTTGGGGAGCCACGCGAGGAACCGCTGGCCGTCTACCATTCGCTCCCCCTCGGCGAAAAGAGTATCCGAGCCTTCCTGAGTGATCGGCTTCACGAGGAAGAACCGGCCCTTGAAATCTCGAACAGAATCGTTGTACGTCTTGAAGAGCTTGGTCGGCTGCTTAAACGAGACCCATCCCTGACGGCCGTTCACCGACTGGCGCTGCAGGTGGAAGATGCGAAAAAACAACGACACCGTGGGCTCCACCTCGAGATAAAAGCACACCACCTCGAAAGCACGGATAAAGGCCAGAGCATTGGGGTACAGTTGGGACGGGGCCAAGCGTAACCAATCGAAGAGGCCCAGATGGAAAGCGGAGAACGGCAACCTGAGCCGAGCCTCTTTGAAGTAGAACTCATGCATGGGAAACATCCGCCGCCCATATCGCGAGCAGATGCGATGGTGCTCCTTCGGGCGGTACACCTGCCAATGTTGCGGCTCCCCTTCAGGCGTGTCCTCGATGGTAGCGTAGACATCGGACGCGTCGGCCACGAAGCAGGATGGGGTGGACAGTGGCTCTTCGGCCACCCATTCCTCGACCGGGACGACACGCTCGTCGAAATCCGGGACCTCGGGTTCATTATCTTCGACCATCGTCCCCGGTACCAAGGCCGACATCTACACCTGAAAAGTAGAGGACAACGGTGAATTCGATAGCCAAGATCAAATCCACCCTTCCACCGCAGGTCAAGTGAAAGGGCAACAAAGGCGGGAGAACGGCGAGCGAGCGGGCGCCCCCTGCCGATCCTCCACGGGGCATTCAAGGGCCAACCCATCATCCCTCCTCGGGATACTCATCGGAAAAAGCGCGCGTCCCCGGGGCATTCATCGGAGAAAGCCCCGTCCTCGGGACATTCACCGGAACAACCAGTCCTCCCCGGGGTATTCATCGGAACTGACCCAGAAAACCGCCAGATACGACGGAACTTGCGTCTCTCCTTGGGGCATTCATCATGCCCCGACCACAGATCCTAATCAAACAGCAGAAATAAAAGGAGAAGAGAAAGAAAAACTCACTTGTAACGGCGGCGAACTGGAGGAAGAACTAAACGGTGCGGCGGCGATCGACGGCAACGACGGACGAGCAGGAATCTCAGAGCTTCGCAGGTAAGACAACAAGGTGGAAAGTAGAAAAATGAGCGGGGACCCCCATATTTATAACCCGGCGCGGGATTCAAAGCGACGCTAGGATCTTAAATGACCTAGGGTAGCCGCCCCTACTACCACTTAACGCGTGACACGTGGCGGCAACCTGACAGTCGCGTCCCTTCACCTGCCTTCGCCCCGCTCTGCCAACGATGGGGAGCCCCCCGTGCGAGCGCGCGTTCCACCGTGCACAAACCCGACGAACCTCCCGTTTCGCTACCTCTCTCCCCGACACAGCGACCTTAAGTCCTCGTTCTTTCACCACAGAGCTTCGACTTGGGGGCTCCTGTTCTGGTCTGGGTCCAGCCTCGCGGTCCAGCTCAATAACGCACATGGCCCATCAAGTGGACTAGCCCGACCGGGCACACGCGCCCCATAGGACGGGCATGGCACGCTCCCCGCCGGGATGGACGACGCGTCCTGTAGCGTCTCAACATCCTCTTTTGTCGGCCGAACAGGGCACACCCCGGTCCGTCGAGCAAGACCTTTGGTTCCTCCACATCCTCGCATTCTCCCCTCCGCGGGGAGAACAACCTGTCTCCGGGGAACCTCCCGAGCTCCCCTCCGCGGGGACACGTCGTCAACCAACTGCCCACCTCCGAAAGAACAGGTCAAACCCACTTTCCGGAGATCAAGGAGCAGTTGGACTAGGGCGAAGACCACATTTCGGTCTTCACTACGCCAGGTAAGCCCTAGCAGTCACCTGGGTTGGGCCTGGCAGTCCAGCCCAACGCAAGTGACCGTTGGCCCAACGCTGGGGTCTCTCTATAAATACCCTCTTCCTCAAGAGGGTCAGGTAATTCATTCCTTACCCACTTTCTGTACTTTGCTCTCACTCTGCCCAACTCCTTACTTTGGCATCGGAGTGTTTTGCAGGTACACCCCCCTTTCTCCTCCTCATCACCGGTGAACTGGTGGCAGTCCAACAGTGTGTGGCCAGCCCGTGATCCCCTTCTGATCAGGTCAGATCAGTTTGAAAAATCAATTGTAGGTGATGAAAATGGTCTGCAGGATATTGACTATACACTAACAAATCATCAAAGAAAATAATAACAAATTTTCTTAGAAAAGCTTTGAAAACCTAACTCATTAGAGCTTGAAAGGAGGCTAGTGCATTTGCTAAGCCAAATGGCATCACTAATCCAACATGTATTGAACTATATTGTCAATCACATCCTTGTGTACCAACGTAAGTTGAAAGGTTGTGACCCTTCCTTAAAGGGAATCTTGTGATCAAATCTAGGGCAAATTGGAGGTAATGCAGTAGGTTCCACAAAAATGTCTTCATATTGATCAATTAATTGAGCAATTGAATTGGGTAAAGGACTTGGTTGGTGATTAGATGTTATTGTGTAACAAGTTGGTATCTCCAAGGAATAAGAATCAGCAATAGTTGATAAAAAAAACATAACTCAGCACCTCTTTGAACTGCCTGTGCGAAGGTTTTATAGTTGATGACTTTGATACTTGGAGTTCTTCGCCCCTTAAAACAAACTTTCTACCACTTATGGTGAAATTCCATTTGAAGGTTATCAAAATCCCAAAGGATTGGACCTAAGGATTTCAACCATTGAAGGTTATCAATTTTTTTCTTTTAAGAAATTTATTTTTAATTATTTTAAAAAAATAAATCTAACGAAAATAAATATAATCCATTAGATTCTTAAAATATGTTGGATGGATCGAATCCATCCATACATATAAATGGATGTATTTAATTCAATTCATTAACTTATTTTTTATGTGATGAATGGATTGGATGAATTTTTTGATAGAGGGATTGAATGAACTTTGCCTTAATGGATCCAATTGTCACATGTAATCTAAACATTGTCGAAATAAGTCGAACATCTTTGATGTATTGTTGCCATGAAGGACGCATATAGTTGAGATGCCATTGCAACGTCAATCCATCAAGGTGAATGGATGCCAAACCCACCATCAAAGGTGCCGGAGTTTCATCCAACAAAAAAAATTAGTCACATTTGTAAAGCCAGTCACGAACATTTTTCCCCATCCAACAAAAAAAATTAGTCACATTTGTAAAGCCAGTCACGGACGTTTTTCCCATTGAAACGAGGAAACTCTACAACAAAAATGAACCTCGTCATATCCAACCTGATATGAAATGCGGCTGCCGTAAATGTTTGGAGCAGTGGGACGATTGTTGTTAGAGCCTTGCCAGATGTTTGACATTGGGGAAGCTTGATCTGCTTGAAGACGCAACAACGTGAGAATCTCATCCATGACAGCATTACATTGAGGTGAGTGAGACGATCTTCAAGGCGTTGCTCAAGTTCGTCCAGGGAGCCAGAAAGAGAAGACGCCATGGTTCAACGGACTAATACCAATTGATACCAACCGTTGGATATTAGGGAAAACTGGTAATACCCTACTCTAAACCAGAGACAACAATTGGAAAAGAATGTTATCTGTTGGATTCAGAGTGCAGAAGATCGTGAATTAATTTGAGGAAGAAGAATTAATTGCAATATTATACTTTTCCATTATGTCATAACTGATATATAATGCCAATTGGTTACAATCCAACCAATCATTGGCTAATAAAATCTACCAATCACATGCTACCAAATCTAACAACTTGTGACAGCTCAATTGACAAAATAAGGAAAATGACAAAATAAGCAAAAACAACTATTGATAATATTGGAACACTATGACAAGAACCCACTGCTTTCTCCTACAAAAGCGAACCCCACGGCAAAAAACAAAACCACAAAGTGTGCACACCCAATACAGAATCGAATAGAATAGACAGACTAAAGCAAGCTTTCCTAATAAGGTCAACTGCACTGGAATATATAGTGGAGTTTATTGTTAAACATTACTTGTATCATATTACTAAATATAACAAAATATAAATCAATCATAAATTCTGTTCACTCTTACCAATTTCTCCCCGTGCGCTAAAACTAGTACATATACAATCAAGTGGAAAGGAGTAGGAAGGACTTAACTACGCACTAATCTATAATAATCGAGAAGAGCCGTAAACTTCTAGAGATTCCATGGCTTAGTGGCAATGAGTTCACACTGAACTAACAAAAATGAACCTGACCATATCCAACCTGATTTTCATAAGAATTCCATCCTCCAAATAATAATTTTCAAAAAATCAATCCACAACAGAAAAGGCAGTTCCCTGTATTAGCAAAAGATCATTATGAAGTTGCATGCACATGCAGAACAGTGCAAAATTTGATTATGTATATTAGAGCTTATAATGAAATTACCTGTATTCTTCTAAGAGCTGAACAGCTTGCACCTATCCATAGCCAGAACCAACAATGGTTGAGCCCAAAAGCCATAGGGCTCTTTCAAATATCAATTGCAGAAGGGGGTAGCTTCCAGAAATTCCATGAATTAAAATCCTCCTGCAATCGTTGTTCAGCAAGATTGATTTATAAATATTGAATTGGAAATATCCCAATTCTCAAGACTGATAATTATGAATAGAAAATTGAAAGATAAAGTTCGTTAATTAAACCTGCTCATCCGAGCCAGTTGGGGGGAACATCCCGTTCACGAGGGCATGCATAGAAGTATACGATTTTGTGTCAAGACTTCGGTTCACAACTATCTCACCCTGCAAATTTTAAAAATGAGAAAGGCTCGACACACTTATATTTCTGGGAATTCTAGAATTTTTTTTTTCAAAAATAAGAAGGATTGTTTACCCTGGGATTTATAATGAAGATCTTTCCTAAAGGGATTCCAACCTTAAGGTAACTGATTTCGTCAGTATCTCTATTTCCAAAACCAGCATAGAACGGATTGCAATCAGAAGGAAAAAGAGCCTTGATACTCTGGAGACATGAAGATTCAAGTTAAACTTAATACCTTGATGAGCATGAAGGAAATTATTTAAGCTTGTGGCAAAAACGAGTAGAACTATTCATGACTTGTTCAAATTCAACTTATCAAACAAAAAATACATTCACGAGGCACTCGACCCCAAATGCTCAATTTGACTTTAACTCATTTACACCTATATTTAAAATTATGGTAATATTAATATGTGGCAGCAGCAAACTCACCTCTAAGCATGCAATTTTGAATTCATGAGGAACCCTCCTAATAACTGAAAATGGAGAGAAAAAAAGTGTTATAAAGTAAAGACCAGAGTATTGCATACTTAACCTTGATGAATATCGTAGACTTTTTGATACATCAATTAAATGGTCAAAGAATCATATATAAAAACTTAAAGATGTTAGATAACTATTATGCTATTCCAGTGCTCTACATATATTGATCAGTGATCACACCTCTAAGTAGAAGAAAGGGAACAGTAAGAAGAAGCAGACTGCAGATCTATTACCTTCACGGTATAGGGAGGGAAAAAGTCCATCAGGTGAAATAACAACAGGACCTTCGGGTAAAATTTTGCCATCCTGCAATATATGCAAAAAATATATACAAAATTGTAATTGCTTTCTCTCTCTTACTCTTCCGCTCACCAGTACATTGTTGATTATCAAAGAAAGATTACTAATTTTATAAATCACCTGTTTAAGATTCAGTAGGAATTGTCGTGTAATATAGGCTTGAGAAATTGAACGAGCACTGAGAAAAAGCAGTTGGTAACCATTCTCCTGCAAATGTGAAATTGACCAGAGTCAGTGAAAAACATCCAACTCGGGTGAAAATTGATTGTAAAGTTAATTACTGGTACAAGTAGTGTTCCCAATAGAATCAAATACTAATACTATTAAAATTAGTAAATCATATCAATGAATATTTATTGTATTTATTCTATATTTCTATTATAAACTGAGGTGAGTGTAGTCTGGTTCGATCCTCTTTGAACCGCCTCACCACTTTTCCGCTGCTTTTCCGCTGTGGAGTTTCGAAACTGTTGGAATATACTAACAGTTTTCTCTTTTCCAAACGATTCAGTCCTCTTTGAATTTCTAGTTGTTTGTCTTTGGGTTCAGCCACCGTCAAGGCTAACCATACTTTATTGTTCAGTTTGGCAGCTGGGTTCCCTGGTCATCGTAGTTACACACATAGCTGTCAAGTGAACTCTCTAACATACGTGGCCCTACATATCAAGGTGACCCTGCCATTAGATTTTCTGGAGTCAGATCAACATTCACCGAAGTGCCACCATCAACCACTGTCCCCCATGTCGCGGTTCTGGATTTCTTCAGTTTTTGATTTCTAGGCACCAGTAAATAGGTTCCTGTTCAAATAACTCCCGTTTCTAGATTTAGACCCATTTTCTCTCTCCATTGGCTGATCATGGCTTCTTTGTCTCTGTTTTTGGGTCGACTTAACGGCAGCTCTGTTTTGGCATTTGGATTTGTCTGTAGGTGTGTTTTGCACCATATTTGTTGTTAGTTCATTTTTGTGAATTCTGAAAACTGTGCAACTGTTCTGCACGTTTTTTGGTGCTTGTTTATGTCTTGTTAGTATGCATTTCTTTCTGGTCTGGTTTTGCACATCTTTTCATTCAAGTTGCTTATTGATAATATGTATAAGTCAGTAAGTCACTCTTGTTACAACGTGCTTTGTGCATTGTCTCAATTTGATCTCTAATGGTAAGGCTCTCTAGTCATTGGTCTCATCTTAGCACACTACATTGTCAATAGTTTCCTATAATCCCTTCGCCTCACCAAAGTCACGAGTCATAGATGACATGTCCCACTTAAGTTAGATTTTCTCTTTGGCAGTCCCATTGTCCAACTATCGTCAACGTTGAGCCCCAGACACCGATCACACTTGGTTGTTTCAAGCAAAGGATAATATCTGACCAAATATCGTTGCAGTTAGTATGGATGTAGTTCGTGAAAGTTCATTGTGATTTTAATATTTGTTGGTTGATGTTCTCTTTCAAAAGGCATACTTGAAACAAGCTAAAAGATTACTAAGCTTTAACTTGAGGGGTAGAGTTAGAAACAAAGAACCAAGTCCTAATTTTCATTATTAGGATTAGAATTAGCAAATCATATCGACCAATGTTTGTTGCATTTATTCTATATTTCTATTATAAATAGAGGCGAGTGTAGTCTGATTTAGACACAAATTTAACAGTTCTCGTGATAAAACATCAAATAAAATTAATCAGGATAGAATGATCAGCAGTTAGAAGACAAGTTAACAGTTTTGTGGTTTTAACGGACACATCAACTAACTGTTTATGCTGCTATACAAAAAACTACAAATAATGCAACGATGTATGATCAGCGCATTCCGGAATTAACCATATTATCACATCGGGATAATCTTAAAACATCTAAAGACATGGAGAATTGACACAAACCTTGACAGCGGAGAATAAATGTGCAACACCTGTCTGTGACCAGTCAACACCAACCAAAGGCATGAACTGACCAAGAACATCTGACCTGTAGGACAAGAAACAAACAAATTAATTAAAATTGGCACACCATAGTTAGAAATTAAAAATAATAGTTAACAGAAGAGAGGTAGAAGACATAGAAGACAGAGACTTCTAACAAGCAAGAGTGTATCAGGATGTTTAAAATGCTCCTAGAAAGAGGGAAAGTAAATTCCTGACAACTAAAATTTAGCAATGAGATTGCATAGGACAATATTTTCAGAAAGACAACAAATATCTTCATTTGGTATGTGATACCAAATTAACAATGAGAAAGAAAACAATTAATAAAAGAAGGTTATCATATTGTCAAACTGAGTTATCTATTTTAAATACGGTTTAATTTTCCAAAAGATATATCCTCACTTTGTAATTGTCCCATCCACATCAGAGATAACTATGCGGTCGTTCCATTTCCACAGATATATTTGAGCATCAACCTGTTAATCAAATCAAATGTAAAATATAAGAAATAATATTGGTTAAGAGATTCAAATTAAAAAAGCATGCATAAAAGGGAATATATATTTCAAGTTCTTAAATCGTAGAAAGTCATTATTACTGACTTGCTGTTTCCCCAGCATAGCTGTAGAAAAAGTGAAGGTTACAATGTTCCTCCCTTCCTTCAGATTTAATGATGCTATCTCTTCAGAAGTTGGAGTTGTTTCCCTAACCATCTTTTTCGTTGAATTGGGTTTGCTATCAATTTTGTTCACATCTGTGAAAATCTTATTCTCTGAAGAATTGCCAAAACTAGTATTTTTGGCATCATTTGGAAGTGGCGGCAAAGATTCTCTAGATACTGAACTGCTCAAGGAGAAAGGCCAAATTCTCCAATTTCCTGTTGATGTACCTCCTGCATGATTTTTTTCCCAACATGGTCAACAATTATGATTTCTTTCAGTTTAAACATTTTTTAAATTTCAAAAGAGACCATGTGTTAGTCCAATAGACACCGTACCTAATTCCTAAATCCCCTGAGAAATCTCAAAAATAAGTATATTATCATCCCAAGCCTAAAGAAAAGAATTTTATATCAACTAGATGCTCAGCAATGGATATTTCAAAGTAGGTAAATTGTTTGTATAATTGATAAATCAGTAATGGAACTACCTAAGGCTTTATTTCCATGAAGCGTATTTCAAAGGGTACTACAATGACAAAATCCTACCATTTTGCTCTATCAAAATAGTAGACACATATCTCAGCAAATTAAAATCGTATAGTAGAATAGAATGCATGTCGCTTCCGAATCTTTAGTGTACTGAAAATTACCAACTGCTGCTACACAATGATATACAAAACATCTTTTCATAGAATAAAGTATATTCAATATACATTTTTTCAGACTGTTTCCAATTCAGTTGACAAAAAACAAAGGAGTTATTACACTCGAAATTTATACCAGTTCCCTTACCAGGGGGAAGATTCAGAGCAGTATCTTTGGGTTCATCAGAATCTTGGCAATCTTTGGCATCTGCCTGCTCATGAGGTAACTGCTTTTCTTTGTACTCGTCTAATTTTAAGCATTCCAAGTTATCCCTTCCAGGAAATGTCGAGTCCAGTGATTGACTTAAAGGATAACGAACATGTTGGGACATACTATTACTACCAGAAGAAATATTTGGCAAGGATCCAGTGTGCCGCCCATCTTCCTCCCCAGCATCCTCGTTTCTAGGGATAACTATGGGACAGGAAGTCACTTTTGAGTTTTCAGTTCCATTCTCATAAGAAATACTATCTTCTTTATCTATATATTTGGGACTTAATGATCCCTCAAATTGATCATTAACTTCACTATCGTCAAAGTCACCAAAAAGGAAATTCTCTTCATCTGAACTCGGGGACAGTGATCTCCTAGATATTTCACTAGGTAAACAATCGCCAAGAGAGTGTGATGGAGTTGATAGTGTGCTAGAGACATCTTTATCCTTCATATTATTCTCATATAATCCTCGGTCATCCTGGCTGTTGTAACTGGAAGGATTGGTAACACAATAGGACTCAACTTTTTCACTTGAACAATGTCCTATATCCACGTCGTTTGTTTGAGGTTTTGGAGATGTTGTTAGGTCTACACAATAGGACTCAAATTTCTCACTTGAACAATGTCCTACATCCAAATTGTTGGTTTGAGGTTTTGGAGATGTTGCTAGGTCTTCAACATCCTCCACATCATACATACTAGCTTCTGAATCAGAAGAATTTATTAGCTGAGCCTTAGAATGAAACTCAAAGACTTCCACTACATCAGCATTCTTAGCGACTTCCTCATTTTCCATACCCTGAAGAAGAATTTTAATATATCAGTGTCAGTATCAACCAAAACAGATTAGAGCAGGTTGCTCGATTAAAAGAATTCAGTATCATATACTTTTTCTAAAGCTTCATAGTTAATAAACCACTCTGACCAAGGTTTTTAAAAACAGTTTTCTACATCAAGGTTTTTCATATCTCTACCACAGCAATTAGGGTCAGTCAGATCATACCCATTTGACAGACTTTTCAGCAATGTCAAGGTTAGTTGTTGTTTTTTAGGATAATAGGCACTGTAATGATAATTGTGCGACCGTGATTTAAAACTTGACTTGACCCTATTTGAATAAAACAAAATTAAGCGCGAGTAGCATAATTGTTTATCACATAATATGCATAATATTTTTTTAATAAAAAAGGATAAACTAAAGCCAATATGTCTTCATAAGCTTCATAACCTATAAACTAAGTTAGAAATTGTTTTCATAAGCTATCCTAAAACGCTTTTGAAAATAAGCTGAAAATAGACTAGTTTTGATAATCTCTTCCAAACAGTCTCACAGGTACTTATACCATTAGATAAACTCAAATAAGTCAATCCAAAGTTCCAAACATACCTAAGACTGTGAATTTACCTTAGTTGCGAGTGAATGCAAGACTTGATCATGAACATGAACCTCTCCACTTTCCCCATGAGCAAGGTACATAACGTCATGAGTTTGTTCACTCGAACAACAAACCATGCCAACTTTCGAACTCTCTTCAACATCCTCCACCACAGAAACCTCTACTCCACTCAATTTCTTTTCAACCTTCGCCACACCAAAGGAACCATCCACATTCTCCACGACCACGGCATGATCACCCTCTCCATTATTCTCGCCATCAATATTCGTCGACCACTTAATATCCAACAAATTAGCAGCAATCTCAGCACGTTCCTTATTCCCAATAGCATCTTCAAATTCACCACTCAAAGACCTTCTCCCAAACATAAGACCAAGTATCCTCGAACGACGAGAATTAGAATTAGTCCTCCCTACAATCTTCCCATCCTCAGAACCGAAATTACTACTTTTAGACTTTAAAGATTGAACATCGAGATCATCACCTTCACCATCACCAGATTCAATTGAATCAATTAAAACAGTTTCCGCATCAATTTCTCTTAGAAAGAAAGCTTCCCCTTTGTTATCCAGATGCATTTGTAAATCAGAATCGACGTCGTTCACGTTGATCTGAACGATTTTTTCTTTTGATTTTAAAACACCTTGGAACTTGCCGAATCGAACGTACCATGGCGAAGATTTGAAGGAACCGTCTTGTTGTTGAACGACGACGATATCGACGGCGCCACCGAATGGATGAAAGGGCCCGGAAACGGTGTATACGCCTTGACTAATGTAGCTCCCTAACCTTCCCACCGCTTGCATCCTCGCATAAACTCAATTTACTATTATTGTTATGTTATGGTAACTTATTCTAATTATTTATTTCTTTTATAATTTTATAAATAATGTTGTGTATAGAGTAGAATAATTAAATTTTTTGTTATAAAGTTTAGGATTAATTGAGGTGGGGGTAAGGGGAGAAGGAATTCTGGGAAGATGGACGAGTTGTTGTTGGTGAAGAACAGTGGTTACGTGGGTTTCTGTGGGACTTGATTTCGAAATTGTTTGGCTGGTTTTGAACCGTTTGATCAAATCTTTCTTCTCTTGCCTTGCTTCACGCTTGCTCCTTCCTCCTTTTTGCAACCCGAGAAGACAACTTCTCCAAATAGTTTTATATATATTCCTTGTCTAGTTCAAAGTGGATTTTGATATGCATTAAACAAATGTCAAAATGTCAAACTTTAATTACATTTATGTACTCTCATTAAATTGTTCAATTTTCCTTCACCAATAAGGTTGTAAGATACTGTCTCACACTATAAAAAATTGTCTCGTTCAACATTTTTTTCTTTTAAAATGAAAATAATTGTTTCATTAAAATATCAATAGTAATATTTATATATTTTTATTTATTAATTTTTCATTTAAGAATGATCCATGTTCAAATATTATTGTGCTGTGAATTCATCTGTAAGAATTGAAAGAAATTATTTTGAGAATTTTTTATTGCACCTAGATATTTTAATATATTATGTAAATTTTTAAATATATTTTTGAATTTCGGAGATACATTTTCGAATGCACATATTTTTAAATAAATATTTTCGAACGCACTTATTTATGAATAAACGTTGATATATTTCAGAGATATATCTTTGAAATAATTTTAAACATTCAAAACATGTTACTCAGTAACCATTTACATTTGAATTGTTCTGGAGATGCATCTCCGGTAAATTCCGAAGATACATCTCTGAAGTGTATCAAAACAAGTGTATTTGTTTTCAGATGAAGTATGAAGCACGATCTCAAATAAAAAAATAGACGTAAAAAATAATAAGAGACTAATATTGGATGTGTCGAAAATGATATATCAATATATGTAGAAAATGTCATGCAATCGAGATCCAAAATGTAATAAAATCGCAAAAATAAAATAGAGTATAGTACTACAACAAAATACACTTCGGGGATGCATCTCCGAAAATACCATAAAACTATAAACTTTGAAGAGTTTCGGAGACGCATCTCCAGAATTTCCCAAAACGCTGAACAATTTCGGAGATGCATCTCCGAAATGTTCTACAACACAAAAGTCACGTCAATAGCGAATGTACCTCTTGCAAGTTAAAGAAACATGATCTGATCGCCATTTTGAGCCAACAAACAAATCATACACTAAGTTTAAGCTATGTTACATGCAATTCCTACACATTTCTAACTTTAATTATTGATTTCTACACATTTACAATAAAACTCGAATATTTACCAAAAACTGAAAAGCATACTTGAAATTTATGGTTTTGATGATATTGAATGGTGTTATAGATAATTTTTGATGTTCTCTTGAGTTCTTGTGTCTTGCTTGATAAAATTGATTTCGTGAAGTTCAAGTGTATTGAGAAGGAGAAGAATTGAGTTTGAGTAAAAGTGTGAAACGAGGAAGGAGAAGAGTCTGGCATGACTTATGTTCCAAAATATTTCAGAGATATATCTCCAGAATATTTCAATGTTCATTGAAGTTTGGATGCGTTCAGAGATATATCTACGGAATCAAGGGGCATTTGTGGAATTTCACATGGTGCGGTAGAAATACATAAGGTGTGTTGCACCCCAAAATTTGACCAACATTTATTTACCCATCAAGAGTTATATGAGACTTTGAAGCTAGCCAAGAAGGTTATTCAAATGTTCAAAGGTTGATATCCTTGTCAGAAGACTCAAGAGATCCTCAGAGAGATTGGTTGAAACCAAGGTTGTGTGTCTCATAGCTTGAGAGTTGTGGGTGCTCCTCAGATGATTCTGAGACTATGAGGGTAGACTTGAAGCTTTGAGAAAGCCTATGAGATGTCTTGAAAGCCATCATGAAGCCTAGAGAGGTCATTGTAAAAGAATTCAGAAGATTCAACCATGAGTGGTGGAATTAGGGTTTGACTGGGTCAACCCTAGGTCAACTGATGATTTGGAGAGGGTTGAGACCTAATCCAAGAGCCATGTGATAATGGATTGATGCATTAAAATGCTATAAGGATGATTCCTAGACCAACTCATCATGATTGAGGAGTTTGAGAAGTTTCAAGCTAGGGTTTCTAAGGATTGACAGTGTAAAATCCCCTAGTTTGATCCCTATCTTCAAGGTAGTTTAGCTCAAGATGTGATTGTCATCTCATCTTCCCCACAACATGAATGTTGTAGAGCTTGTTCTTAGCTTTAATTTGAGTACTAGAAGTCCTTGATAGGATTTGTAGAGCTCAAGTTATGACTTTGACAAATTGCAGGTCATTTGAGGTATGTGAATCTGGGTCCTTGAAAGTCACCCAACTTGCATCCAACTTTTGCCCTAGTAGGATGATTCCTATGAACTATTGGTAAACATTAATGTTGTATAACATCTTCTTAGCGTTCTAGAGAGTACTAGAAGTCCTTGATAGGATTTGTAGAACTCAACTTATGGCTTTGACAAGTCAAGGGCATTTTGGTTATTTGGAGGTTATAGGTCATTTCAAGCATAAGGCCATATCTCCTATTTCCAAGCTTCAAATGGAAAAATCTTCAACATCAAACTTGCTTAGAATGATGTTTTAAGGCTATTAGGGAGGTCATGAGATGTTGAAAAGGCTTGTATCAAAAAGTGATAAAAATGGCCTAAAATGGAGGCATAAGTTAAATAAGTTGAAATTGAAAATTGGAAATCACAAGTTATACATCCAAACCATGTCATATAATAGGTCATTTTGACTCCAAAGGACATTCTAAGAACAATGGTTCATCCACAATTTTGATTTGAGGCTTAGATCATAGGGCTGCTTTGGAAATGGCTTACTTGCATCTTAAGGTACCAAAACAAAACTCAACAAAACTCAATGAACAAGGTAGTTAGGCATTGTAACACATCTTAAATCTCATATGGGGAGAATTTAAAGTCAGTTACAAAGGTTACAAGAGGCTTGGCATGAGATAGCACATAAGGGGAAGTGAAATCAAAATGTCATGACATGAGAAGTTCAAATACTCATTGGATGGTCCTAGATGGTTCTAGATGATTCTAAACCACTTTATATAACATATGTAACTTGCTCAGATGCAAGGTTGGTGAGAGTTGGTGCAGAGAAGAGAGAGTGAGATCAAAAATCTTCCATTGCAAGTCAAGTTCCAATTCTGCATTCTTCTTCATTTCCATTCCTTTTTTCTACACAAACACATTCCATAGATCATAGTGAAGCTGTGCAGATCAGTTTGAGAGCCAATCCATGGTGAATTGAAGAGTTGGTGATTGAACTTTCAAGGTAGCAAGTCAGAATCGAATTCTGAGATTGAGGCTTCCTCCATCAAATTTGTTGCAAACAGTAGCAAGATTGTCATCCAAGGAAACTTTCTGAAGAGTTTCAAGGCTTGAAGTGAAGGATTTCATCATCTGTTCATCAAGATTTACCAGGTTTGCAAATTCTCCATTACACCATGTTTTATGCATAATTAGGTTAGTTTGTTAGTATAGAAAGGTTAGAGACACATAGGTGATGAATTTTGGAGAGTTAGAAGGCAATTGGTGAAGATTGGATTATGGACACCATTTCTTTGATGACCAAGAACTCCTTGAATCTTGAGTAATAATCTTAGTTCTTTAGTGGAAATTGACCAGTGATAGGAGGTGAACATTTTAGTGTAAACAATTTCAAGAATCTTGAGTTTTGATTTTCAAGCATAATTTGAGGTTTGATTCGTGTTTTAAGTTTGAGTGAGATTCAATGGAATTTGAGATCATGGTTGGATTCAGTGTGGAAAATAGATCATGTTAGGGCTTTGAACTTTGAGTTTTGATGGAGATATGAGGATTCACGATTGGAGAGAAGTGGTGTTCTTGAGTTTCAATGGAGGTCTCCCTCCAAAAATTTGAAATTGGAGAAGACGATGTTGTGACCCTAGGATCAGAGGAGACTTTTGATTGAAATCCTGATCTAACGGCCATCCGCGCGTTTCAATTTGTGAAGAGGTTTGAACAAGGCAAAACGCAGCGTATCACTTAAGTCCTGGCTTGGGCTTAAGTGATCTTTTGATATGCACACCCCTGGTTAGAGGCCCACTCAATTTTGAACTGATTTGCTCTACTATTTGCACCGTGGATTTTTCTTTTTCTTTATGTTTTTTGATTTAATTTCTGATTGAATTGGGCCCAGCGCTTATACTATCTGAACCCCCATTTTGAGCCCATACGCGTATTACACTGCATTGCATTACTATCTGCACCACATCTCTCAATATTTTCATTTTATTTTCTCCATTTTATTTCAAACTTGGAAAAATCATAATAAATGGAAAAATAATGATTTTTTAATGGGAATTTTTGCTCCCATTTCATACTAATGTCTAGAAAATTATAAAATAAAAATATTTTCATTTCATGCATTTTTAATATTTTTTGTGCATTTTCTACTTTTATTGCATTTTATTTCTTTTATGTTGATACATGAATTTGTAGAATTTTGTTTAGGTAGTTCCCTTAACATTTTTAGGCTATTCTTTTTAGGATAGTTAGATATAAGCTTTAGCTTCCCCTTGCATTTATTTCATAATTTTGAGATGAATTTTAGAGTAGTTTTGATTAGATGACATTAGGTTGTGTAGGATTAGGTTAATCCTTAACATAGGTCCACAATAACATTAGAATTTTGGGTTTCTAAGTCAAGTTAGATATTGGGGCATATAAGGGTATTAAGGGTAGGTATGTAGGATCCCCTAGAAATTATATTAGGTTTTAATATAGTGGTATACTATTTTTAGATGATTTTTGTAGTGGATGATAGTTTGTGTTGCCCTTGTGGGCT